GCCATGGGCTGCATGCACGAAGGGAGAGGTTGTGGTACATCAATTCCACTTGGGGTTTTTGAAAATACAGTTTGTTTTGACACATGGGGTTCTCTTGACCCCCTTGTAAGCCCTGTGCTGGAAGATACGATAGATCAAAGGGAAAAGTTAGGAAAGAATGGGGCAAGGGGGATAGGAGGCTGTGTGGGATCTGGCTCTAAAAGATACTGTAGGAATATGTTGCTTCCCAGTCATTGGTCCTTCATGGTTATGTTTATATAAGTTTATCCTGCTTTTTTTTCTTTAATAAATGACATGGGCCTGACTGGCTACAGTTAGGATCCCATTATGAGTGTGGGGAACTGAACAATCCTGCCGCTGGTGTCTTCAGACTCCGTGGCCAGGACAGGCAGTGCCTGCAAAGAGGTGACAGCTCCCCTTGCCCTGAACTAACCCTGCCCAGCACAGAATGGCAGAGCGAAGGCACCTCTGGTGGTGGCCAGGTCCAGGCCACTGCTCAGAGTGGGATCACGTAGAGGAGCTCACTCAGGACATCATCCAGTCAGGTTTCAAGCATCTCCAAAGATAAGGCCTCCACAACCTCTCTGGTGCTCAGTCGCCTGTCATTAAGAAGTTTTTTCTCATGTGTAAGCTGAATTGTCCTCTTCCCTGGATGCTGCTGATAAGCTCTGCTGTTGCAGAGGTGGCCTGGCCTCCCAGACCTTGGGGTAAATGCACCTGCAGGGCTGACTGGCGCACGGAAGAAGTGGACTTCACGGATGTCTTCTGAGGAGAAACTTGTTGCTGTCTGCTAGGAAGGACCCAAGGCACATGTAGTGAAGCTTTGGGTCAAATACCCTGAGCGCAACTCTTAGAAAACCTTTGCCTTGCTATTACGTTGGTGTTGTGCACCTCGAGTCAGTGACTCCTCCTCTGCAAGCACACTGTTCTGCCAGGGAAGCCTGCTTTGGGGGCCTGTTGCCTTGTCTCCACATGGCTGGTGTCCTCTCTGCCCTGCAGGGGCTCATCCCCTGAGGTCAGCTGCTGGGGATCTGGAAAAGGCAACATGCCTATACCCCAGCTCAGGGATGCTGCTTGGTGCTGGGACTGTGTGCAGGGACCCACGCAGTAGTCTGTGTGTATGTGCACAAGCATGCATCCTCATGCCTGCTTCTTCCCCCAGAGGGAAACAGCTCCAAACAGAGCAAGGGCTGGGGGAGGGAGCCTTGAAGGCTTTAACTGTTAACTTCCCCTTACTCATGATTTTCCTGTTAGTGTTTTGTCTTCTTGGCATCCTTCCTGTTCCAGATATATGTATGTTATATATTGTTGTCTCAATTGCTCTATGTTGCACCCTTTGTTCTGTAAAGCTCTGAAGTGAGGAGGTTACTTGCAGGCTTTGTGTAGCTGCTCAAAGTTCCTCATGAAAGTAACTGGAGAGACAGTTTCCGTGAGCACTAAGAAGAAATGCAGCATGTCTTTTTATTTCTTGGAGGAGAGTTTGGTGCTGTGAAGCCTTGCTGTTTGTATTTGCAAGCAGTGTGGCTAGTGTCCACTGATGGACTCGGATCTGATTTTTGTGCGAGATACAGAATAAACAGAGCAAAGAAAATCTTGAGTTGTGCCCTCCAGCATGCAGCAATGGTAATATCTATCCCCAAACCACAGACCTTTGAGGTATGCTTGGTTTATTCCCCACAGACAAACTAGCGAAGCAGGGAGGCCTGGGAGGCTTGCTGCCATCACCACCTGACCTTATCACAGGCAAGACTCCACATGTGTGACCACGAATGCTGGCCACGTACGTTTCTGATAATGTAGACTGCAGGTCATTTGATGCTCTGCAGGTTTGGTGGCTATACCAAATGCAGCGGGCAAAGCTGGTTTCTTCCTCTCCCTGAAGGAGCTCAGCCTGTGTTCCTTTGGAAGGCTTCTGTGTCTTTTGGGGGTGGGAGCGTGCCTACTGTCAGCGCCTCTCTTTTATTTGCTGGTTGCTTTGGAAGCATGGTGTGGTATCTGGTGCCCTGAACCAGATGTGCGTACTCCAAAAGCATTTGGATCGGAAGTGGGGAAGAGGGCAACGGGGAAGGGGGGACGGGAGGAAAACTTAAATTAGAAGAAAGCCAAACAGCTATTGCTGGAGACAGATGATTACAGCTCATTTCAAGGCTGTTTCCTGCATGCCAATGATAGATCAGTAAACAAACGCCTCTTTGCGAACACAAAGCAGGCAGGAACTCTGTTTGGAAGAGAGAGGTCGGGATAGGTCTCGCTTCACTTGGTAGCAGGAAGCCCCTATCACATGGCCCTGGGAATTGTGAGGCCTCGTGCGTGTGGGAGATACGTGGAGAGGCTTCTGCTGGGAGACTTCACATCCTTCCCAGGGTCTGGCCAACAGGTTTGAGAGCTCCCTCCCCTCCCTCTTTCCTCCCACCTCCTCCCCTGTCCTTCCTTTCCCAGTTTAATTTTGAAACTGTATCAAATGACTGCTTTGTTCCTCCAAACAATGGCAGGGATTACTGAATAAATCGAAGCAGTGAGGCTTTCCAAATGCAGTTCAGCATCTTCTTGCCCTTTCTGTGGCTTTTATATCTTGCTCCAGGATGTACGTGCCAGGAGTGGTGGCCCTGGGCTTGGGTTGCTGTGGGGCTGTGCTTCCCCCATGTCTTCCAGTGTTTGCATAAATATTTACTCTTTCGGGCAGGACCAGCTAATGTGCTACAATAGTCCCCTAGGTGATGCTGATGCCGGCCTGTGTGCAGCGGTGTATACTCCCCTGCTCTAGGGTGAAGGCACAGCAATCCGTGTATCTCCCAGGGATGACTTTGCTCCCCTGAGTGGCATGTGTTGTCAGTGGCTGTGTCGGTAGGTACCTGGTTGTTGTCACTTTGAAGCATCTGCTGCGTTGCTGCATTGGAAGCTCCTTGTCCACTTGTTAATCTGCCTGGTGTCGGTGTGTTGCTTTAGTTACTCCTGCCACATGTGGTGGCTGTGGGGAACAAATGTCCCACTGGCCTTGGTTCCAAGTTGTGCTGCTCTGATGATTGCAGCAGTGCTCCTTTCACAGGAGGCTCTTTTGCAGCACCCAGCAACTGCTTTGTGCCTCACTTCTGCTCAGCAAGAGTGATGGGGCAGTCCCGTCATGAGTGCTCTTACTTTGTATTACCTGCTTTTTGGCCTCTCCTGTGGGAAGTATACCAGGTACGTGACTGTTCTGAGCAGCAGCACGTATCTGCTCATAGCCAGATGTTTGTTTTCAAGGCAGTGTTTGTTAAGGGGCTGTTGGAAAAGGCTGAGAGATTGAGTTTCCTGATGGCGAAATTGTGTGATCTTCTCAAGACAGAGTTGCTCATCACAAGCAAACACTGGTGTGGCAGCACAGCCACAGGGGCTGTGTGTATGCCAACTCCCATTGTTGTTATGTTTCTTACTGCTAAAGGCAGTGATGAGGAGTTCTGGCCACTCACCCTGCTGTGCAAGGCACTGCACAAGTGGTGAGTGAGGAGACCATCCCTGCGGTAGGGATGCTGTAAGCCAAATGCTGAGCAGGCTGTGTTGCAGCTTTGCAGGAACCTGCTTTGATGCCCGTGTGAGTCACTCTTTGGCCATGGACCCGCATGAGCATTCAGTTTGCATTATTCTCAATCCATAACAGTTAATGGGTGGATGAATAGATTTTGTTCCTCGGGCTGGTAAATTTTCTTGACAGTGTTGTGAGGCTGGTCTCTGTCTAGGAGTGAAGTGGGTGTTTGTTCCAGTTACTAATGAGGAAGAGAAGCCAAGGGGGTTTATTGTCTGAGGAGAGAGAGTCTGCTAAATGGTTAGCAATGAACTGCCTCGAGTGTGTACACACTGAGTTGACCCGGAGTTCACTCCTTGCCTCAGGAGCGTTGCCAGTGTGGGTTAAAGGGAGGGAGAGAAAACTGAACAAACAAGACTGATCTTTTTTCTTCTTTCTTCTTTCTTTTTTCCTCTCGTTGCTCAAAATGCATGAACAGTGGAAGCAAGAGATCCTTTTGTTCTTTACCATTTGTGTTGTGGTGGGGTTTATTCTTTCAATGACAAGACCTACTAAATTTCCTGAGGTTCTCAGTCTTGTTGCCAATTGCTAGACATGGTGGGGCAGCATCTGCAGATGAGCCAAGTGCACAGATTTGAGAGCCTTCATATCTTCCAAATATTACCTACAAGATCATAGAATCACAGAATGGTTTGGGTTGGAAGGGACCTTAAAGATCATCTGGTTCCGACTCCCTGCCGTGAGAAGTGACACGTTCAACTAGACCAGGCAGACCACTGTGTTAGGTGAGAAGAGATGATGCTGCAGGGTAACAGTGAGAGTATTGTGGGGCAATAAAAAGAGGACAGAGTCTCTCTGAACTACACTGACCAGCAGGTCTCAGAGGGACAGTCACTCTGTAAATGCTAGAAATCATAGGGCAAACAGAATGACTCATTTTTGTGGTTGATTTATCTCATCCCCATGTGGAGTTGTCCTCTGAAATCAGAGCAGTAGCAGCCAAACATGGCCCAGCAAAGAGAAGGAAAGCAGTGGCTGCAGTGCAGTATCTTTAGAGCTTAAAACGTTTTCTGTCCCAAGCTGGTGACACTGTCACACTATTGGAGAGGAGCCACTTCGGTCATGTGGCCTTAACACAGGTTGTTTCAAAATTGCTTTTGGTTTAGTCTTCTGTAAGAGAAAAAACCCAAAGTCCACTGAGATTTTGGCAACAATAAAACCTGCATGAAATGAGCTCCATAGTCAAGTCCTGATACAGCTGCTGATGACAAGTCAAAGATAAGTTTTGCCCTCAAAACCTGTTGACTCCTTGCTGGGCTTCTGAGGGGTAATGGTGTCACCCCTCTTCACATTTCATGGAGAGGAAACCGAGGTTGTCCCCAGAAAGCTGTCATGTCTTGCTACTGCTCTTCTGAATTTCAAGGATAAATGCGTGTGTGTAGAAGGAAGAGAGGTGGATGCTGAGCACAGAATAATGCCTCTTCCTTGTGTCTGTCTGCAGGTGACCTGCTGCCCTGCTGCGTGCTGACATGATGACAGCTAGCAAGGTGGCCGATGTGAGCAGCCAGACTGAAAGCAGTGACTGCAAGTCCTTTCAGAGGTGAGAGCTGGCCATGCTTCAGTGACAGTGTTTATTATCCCCAACAGAAAGAAACCAAAGGAAGGAAACATTCTTTCTGCTCCACACTGTCCCTCTCTCTTCACACGTTAAAACACACCCCTGTAGGTCTCAGGTGGTTTCATTGCCATCTCAGGACTGTGGCACTGTGCATTTTAGCATCCAGCCAGACTGATAGTGCTCTGGACTCACAGTGCTGAAGAGGTCTGCTTGATGATCCCTGTCAATGTTTGCGCCACCTGCAGTTGAAGTCTTTAATGATGGAGGCTCTGCAGACTTCTCAGACAAGCCCTGCTGTCCTCACCCATTGCAAGTTTTCCCCAGTGTCCAACCTTGGTTTCTAGTGGGCAGTAGCACTGCAATGCCCTACTCCTTGGGAAAGGCCAGTGTTCTCAATGCTACCTCTTAACTGAAGCATGATGTCACTGCGACAACCAGGAGTTAAAATATCTGTGAAGCTAGAGAAGAGCAGTATCTGGCTTGGGTCCCGTTTCTGCTTAGAAACCCATCCCATACTCAAATTTCACTACAACTGAGGCTGCAATGGCTGCCAGAATTGCTTAACTCCAGGACAAAGCTCAAGGCCTGCCAGCACACAGGGTAACCACATGGATCCTCTTACAAGAGCGCTAAGTTCTGGAAGAGGCACACTTGATACATTCAAGTTAATGGAGCAGTTTTCCAAGTTAAATCTCAGTGTTTGGATCATGGTTAAGTGGGACTAAAGACACAGGTTTGCATCTCAGTAACTACATTGTGTTGTCCGGATACTCTTTCCCAAGCCCAGAGACATGGCTAAGTGCTTTGGTTCAGAAATACTTTGTGTTTGGAATAACAGTCCTGTTTGGAATAACGGACCTGTTCAGGTGGGACATTGTGATAAAATATCACAATATTGTGATATCACACACTTAGAAATCTCTAGAGTAAATGTATTAGGGTTTTTTTTCAGTTTGGACTCAAGCAGCAAAGATGTTTAATCCTTTGCCTGGGTGCATGGGAGCCCAAGCCCATGTACGGCCTGGGATGATAGGGCCATAGAAATGTAATGATAAAAGTACATTCTTTGTGCATTAATAGGCACTTGGGGAACATTTTTATGGACAAAGAGAGATCCTCTGAGGAGGCACTAGAGGAACGGCAGCTGTACGGTATCTTTTCTCCTCTGTTTAACAGCAGCAATTTTGCTGCTGTTGGTCCATTTCACATTTATTTGCATTAGACCTCCTTGGTGCCCTGATGGTGTCCAAATACATCTGAACATGCACACAGAAAAGTGCTGGTGAACCTCTCTCGCTGGTATCAGCATGTCTGATGTACAAAAATTACCTCTCTCACCTGCCACCTACTTCTGGCACAGAGAAAGACTTCATATCAGACTGTGTCTTAGTTGTAACAAGAGGACAGCATTGTGTTCTGGCTAGCGCACAGAGCACCTTTCCCTGAACACCCTCTCCCATAAGCCTGTCTCCGAAGTGCTTCATTTTGAGCATCCTCTACTGTTACCAGCTTTACAAGTAGAGCTTCTGGAATTAATGGACTAACCCAAGGGTGAGCAGTGATGGTGAATGTTTCTTCTCTTTTTGTCTTTGGTGTGTAGGATCAAGCTTGCAGATAAAACTGATACAGCAGCTGTGAAGGAATTAGAAAGACCTTCGTGTGGATTTTTGAGTGAGAGGTATTCTGAAGGTGCCTCTGTCACCCTGGGTTTAACACCTGAAGCGGAACCAGTTTCGTCTGTGGTGAAGAACCCACTGGGAGCCTTGGAGAACTTGATGCTGGATCCAAAGCTAGACTGCTTTCAGCAGAACATGCTTAGTCCCAAAATGATCATCAGTGACCCATCTGTGGATCTGAATGTTAAAGAAAACAGTAAAATCAAGAGACAGATAGGAGGCACTCAGAATATACAGTCACCTGGAAAAATTGGCTTGAGGAATAAGTCCTTCAGCATCAAGGACAAAATTTCAGAATGGGAAGGGAAAAAGGAAACACCGTCTGCTCCTCGCAGAGAGGAGGAACAGGGAGTTAGAGAGGAGCACAGGGTGCCCTTTGTAACTGAGAAGACGAGTGGGGAAGCCCTGGTGACTCGAAAGGTGGAGACCAAGAGATATAAGAACTGGGAACTGGAGAGCAAAGGAGTGGGCAAAGAGAATGAGCAGAAAGCAGGAACTCAGAAAGGCACAGGGCATGCAGCAGAGCGAAAGGGGGAAGCACAAAAGGACAAGGAAGTGGAGTCGAACCCTGGAAAATGCAAGGAGGTGAAAGGTGGGAAGCGGGAGATCCAGAAGGAGAATCTTTCAGTGCTTAGTCAGGTCAAGAAGCTAGAGAAGGCTTTGAAAGATGGCTCAGCAGAGCTGCAGCCACAGTTGCCTGGTACTTATTATTCCCCCCAGTGCTTGCAGGAGAAGGCAGCACAAGGACACACTGCTCCTGAGAGCCACGAGAGCATATGTGGGGCTGAGCTCAACAAAAGGCTTCTTGGGTTGGACTCTGAAATCAGTGAGCCAATTTTTGGGACTCTAGAAGAAGTAAGAACTTCTCATGCAAAATCCAAGGGCTGCGTGATGGAGAATGTGTACACGGAGCCAGGGGTGCCAGAGAAGAAACCCTTCATCAACCCTCTGCCAAAGCCCCGACGGACTTTCAAACATGAAGGGGAAGAGGACTGGGTGCCAGCAGCTAGGAATAAAAGAAACTTACCTCCTCTGCCATCCATTCCTCCCCCACCTCTGCCCTCTTCTCCTCCCCCATCAGCTGTCAGCAGGAGGCTCTGGAGCGGGAAGCACAAGAACAATGCTGACCACAGGTATTTGAGCTCTGTTTCACAAAGGTGTTGGTCTTAATGGTGGAGTCCCACTTTCCCATATCTCTCTGGAAGAGATGGATCTTCCCTGGTCACTCATAATCCCCGGAGAGCATTACTGGCCATGACCAACACTCAGTCATCTCTCTGAAAATGTGTGAGTGGCCAGCACAAACAGCCTCACAGGACAATTGTGAAGGAATAAGTCATGGCAGATTTGGGCTTTAAAGTCACTGTATTATGTGGCTTAACCTTCAAGCCCAAGACCAAAGGGTTTGGGGTTTTGTTTTGTTTATTTAGCAGAAAATCCATTTAATTACAAAATTACTACAGCTGGTCTGGAATGGTGTCTGGAATGATAATGTTTAGTCTCTACCACAGCATTTTCACTGTTCTTAGTAAACCTATGCCTCTAACTGAATCTGATGCGTATATATTCTTCTGAAGTGCTTTCTTGCCTTCCCTCCCCTCCCCTCCCACATGATTGTCACACATTTTGGGGTGGGGAGTGTAAAATGCACAGCTGTTTCTAATACCCTCTGCATAAACTGGCACTTAAAACTTCCTGGCTTAGTTGCAGGAAGGAAATTTAAACTTCACAGGTTTGTTAGGGGAGGACACTTGATTGAGCAATGCAAGAAATCAGTACTCGCATGCAGGATGGTAGAATGGGTAAAAACAAAGAGCTGGTTTTGGACCCCCTATTCCTGCCAAGGGTGGGATCTGTGTTGTAAATGGGACCTCTCATGGCCTCAAGTTCTTTGCAGGGTTGCAGAATCGCTACTTAACACTTGTATCTTCACAGTGTGCTGTTGGCACGACAACCCAGATTATCTGTGGTGTCCCCAAAATGCCTTTATTTGTGTGACTGATAAAAATAACTGATCCCAGTGTTACTTTTTCATGCTTTATATGGGATGAGGCAGTGAAATGTTCTCCATAATTCATTTTGCCAACTGTGTGGCGTGTTGGAGCAGTGAATTAGCTGTTACTTGGTTATAAATGCTGGTTAACTGTATTGCTCTCGTCTTTGCTCCTTCTTCCCTCCCGTCAATGGTGCAGGAAGTCATACGAGTTTGAAGACTTGCTGCAGTCGTCGTCTGAGACCGGGCGGGTGGATTGGTACGCGCAGACCAAGCTGGCCCTCACACGCACTTTATCTGAGGAGAACGTCTATGAAGACATCCTGGGTAGGAGTTTTGGATAGGGAAGGGATTTGTCCGCTGATCACAGAATCACAGAATCCCAAGGGTTGGAAGGGACCTCAAGAGATCATCTGGTCCAACCCCCCTGCAAGAGCAGGGTAACCTAGAGTACATCACACAGGAACTTGTCCAGGCGGGCCTTGAATATCTCCGATGTGATGCTGAGTAACTGAGAAGATGGTTAACAGGCACGCACCGGAGGTGCTGATTAAACTATGTTTATTATCCAAATGCAAACCAAGACATATTTCACACAGATTATTGGCAAGTAATCAGAAAAATAAACAGAATATTTCAAAACTCATCAGCTTCAAAGATGAACCTGAGGGATGTGGGAACAAGCTTTTATTTTTTGCTGGCATCTCTCCTGTCTTTCTTTTCTCCTGTGGACTAGTTCTCACAGCTCTGGTCTGTCCATTGTGGTGAGATTGTCACTGCTGAGATAGTCTGGAAACAGCCTTAAGATCAGTTCCACGGTTCGGAAATAGGACTGTGTGTGGGTCTAGGTACCACTGAAATGAAGAGACTAGGTCCCACAATCTTTGAAATTGAGTTTAATTTCATCCTCTAACTTTGATGGCAGATCAGTGACATTTCAAAGATTATTGTAACACTCTCGATTTCTGAAATGTGTTTAAAAACTGTGAGTTAGATGGTCTTTTATGGAACATAGAAGCATTGAAAAAGCCTTAAGTTTTAGCAGCTATGGGCTGGTGCTGTGTAAAGCACTTGCCTGAGTTTAGCAGAATAGGAAGGTAAAGCTGCATTGCTCTCACCATGCAGCTGTAATCCTACAAAGGTGGTCTGTGTTCCTTGGCATGGGAAGAGGTGTGCTTTCTCAGGAGCATGAGAAAGATCTCTCAAAAGAATTGTGTTCCTTTGGGACTGATGGCAGACAAAGTGATGCCAGTCTGTCCTTTTTGACATATCTGAAGCTGTCGGCCTCATGTTTGCTTTTTTCTTCTTTTTACTTGGGGGGCAAAAGGACAGGGAGTGCCTGAGCAGCTGCTGGTTGTTTTGTGTGGTGGGAGGTCTCAGGAACCTGTCAGCTGGAATAACATGGATAGCATTACAGAGTGGCTGTATGGGCAAATCTATCCATTTAAACACAAGAACACCCCTGTGCCCCAAGCTCGCAGGGAACTCAAATCCCAGGCTGCAATTCTTTTCTCCTTTGGCTCTTAGCTGCAGATATTGGAAGAAAACAAAGTTATGGGTAATTGTCAGGTAATGGGGCATGTTTGTTTTCTTGCTGCACATTTAGGCTTTGCCTGAAGTCAGTGATGTTTAATTGGTTCCTGCAGTCCTGGTGGTGTTACCATGGGAGCTTGGGAAAAGGGACGCGCAGGGATAACTGAAAAAAACTACAGTGTTGTTTTTCACAAGACCACAGGCACATATAATCCACGAAACAAACATGATGTGAGAACCATATCAGTGGAGGGGAAACCAAGACTTCAGCCACAGGACACTACTGCTGACTAGCAGATAGTCATATGTGTCCATCAGGGCGTGCAAACACAAGCATACACCCCATGTCCATATGTGTGACTTGTGGGGGCTCAGCTGCTGCTGGAAGAACCATTCCCTTTCCCAGCAAATTATAGAGGTTCCCTTCATGTACCATATTTTTACCTGTTCACCAGTACTTACCTGCAATATTGAAAATTGTATTGGGCAGATCATTACAAGGTTTATTTGTCAAAAGAAGGGAAACTGTCCTTTCTTTTAAACTGAGGCTAATCGGACGTGCTGCTGAGCAGTTTGAGGATGGGTGAGGCAACAGAACCCAAGCTTGTTCTTTTTTGCTCCAGTCTACTCAGTATGTAAGAGCTGTAAAAAACTGTATTTTTACTACTGAAATTTGCCACTGAAATTAGAAAGTAGAGCCACTTTAAGGAACAGGAGCATGTTTGCTGACAAAGTGGCCGTGCAGCCTTGCTTTGCTGGTGTTTACCTACTCCTCCTTGGTGAATTGAGATTCACCACTGTAGTGCTGCATGTCACCAAGCCAGTGTAGAAGACAGTGTTGGAAAAAACCTTGGGTTTCTCTCCTTGTATGAAGACTTCAGCTGCACTTCTGCCCCGCAGGGCAGGCAGGTAGGAGCGAGGCAGTTATATCCTATAGCCGTTACTGGTCCCTGTTCCAGAGCCCTGCAGCATCACTGACCTCCAGTCTTTGTTCTTAGCCAAGCATTAGGTGACAGTAAGAGAAAGGCAGTTGCTTCAACTCCCAGCTGCAATGGCATTAAAAGATGGCAGTGGAGAGCGAATACTACTTCAGCACTGCTGAAGAGTGAGATGTAAGAAGTTCATTATATGTAATTTTGGGTGTTAAGGACTGGAATGAGTTGTGTGCTTCGTCTCCAGAATCAGTGGAAAGAAGGGGACACTTCTGTGTGGTCATTCAAGTCTTGTGTTTTTGAGGGGATCCTAGGTAAGAATGAGCTGAACGTTACTTCAGAAGGTGTCCCTCCCCAAGCGTCTTCCAGAGAGGACATCCTGACTTTGGATGGCCTAGGTTAAGTGAAGCGAGTTCCTCCCTCTTTCTAAAGTGGAGCCTGTGAGGTTGAGGCATACATGATTGGTAGATGGGTTTGAAAGTCTGTGCTGTGTGATAGACATCAGTGTTCAGAGTGGATTAAATCTTCCTGCAGTCAGCCCAGGAGCAGTGCATCGCTTCAGCCCCCATTAAATGATGGCCAAAGGTCCCTCTAAAGATGGGCTTAAAACAGAAGAGAGAGGGCCTTTATGCTTGCCCTTCAGCCCTCAGTTTCATTTGGACAGTTTTAAGCAGAAGACTGGAAGGAAGGAAGTACAATTTTGGACTGATGTGCCTGAGAACCTCACAGCTCCTCTGAAGGCAGGGAAATGAACTCAAGGACTCTCTGGGTCTGTTCCATTTGTAGTATCTGTGATACGTTTCTATGGCTGCATGTGTCAGTGTCAGGGTTTGGACAGTGTCCAGTGAGCAGCTGGACTTGACTAGGGCTGTGGAGAGAATGAAGCAATTGCAGGAATGCTTGAGAACAGGTCTTTATGTCTGATGTGGGAGGTGGGAGAAGGCCAGCAGATCCCCAAACAGATTTTTATGGCAAACCTCAAAGATTTTCTGCACTTACAACCTCTTGCTATGGCTTTTTGCTGCAGATCCACCATCAAAAGAAAACCCTTATGAAGACATTGAGACCAACAGCCGCTGTCTGGGGAAGAAATGTGTCTTGACCTTCCCAGCATCCCCCACCTCTTCTGTACCTGGGACTCCCACTAAGGTACTTCGATTCAAATGACCATTTCTTCTACTTTGGAAGGTTTTTGGGTGAAATCCAGGTCTTGTATGGAAAAAGTAGGGATTTGCCAATGACTTTCATTGTGTCAGGGTCTTTCCCTTTTTGTCTTTTACCACAGAGTACTGGCGATAAGAGGGGATTTACTGCCCTTTAGCAAGGTAAAAAAAACCAGCATTCCCTTATACAAATGGTTTGTTTCACTTTTTTTCCTACCAGGGCTACCTTTCCCTGGTAGGGAGAAGACCTTCTGCTAACATTGTGCAAGAAAGGTCTTCCTCCCCTCAAAGAGGATATTTAAGTGCTTGGATAATCAAGCCCTGCAGTGGTCTTGGTGCAGGGTCAGTGTGCAGTACACAGTCTGCCCGATGCCAAGGTGAATCTGCAGCCCCTCTTTTGCTCTCTCCTTGATGGGACTGGTTGCTGGTAAGTAATGCAATGCCAGTCCCCTGGTTAGGGGGCCAGTACTAAAAAGGTGCCTTCACCAACAGCACAGCTCACAGCCTGGTGCAGTTTTGCTCCTTGGTAGTGAAACCAAAAGAAGAGGTAAAACACTGACCTGCACTTCTTGCTCAGAGCTCAGGGCTTACCAAGGCCTGCACTGCTGTCATCCTCCTGAGCTGTTTGGTTGGTTCCTGTTGTCTGTTTAGATAGTTCAAGCCTGAAACAGCAGGGACAGTGTGACAGCAGAAGACATCTTGGTAACAACTGGGTTCAGAGTGAATAGCAGGGATCTAAACAGTTTTCTGACCAGAGGGTTTTCCCAGGCTCTCCAAGTTACAGCTATTATTAGAGCTGTTACCCAACATTTTCAGAAATATGAGGTGCAGCATTTCTTGATGTGTTGCTGTTTTGCAACCACCTTAATCAGCAGCTGAGGATTCTTAGGGCAATTGAACATTTAGAAGTTAAAGTTGTTCTGTGGTTCTCAATCCATTCTCCTTGTTGCTAGTTAGTTCTAGAGCATCAAGGGTCTATGTATGAGTGTTGGAATGAAGCTGATTTGCTTCAGAGAGCTTTGCAATCACCTATGCACCCTGATTTCCCACCTCTGCTATCAAAAAGGGGCTGGAGTGTTACACAGGAATAACTTTCAGCATAGATACTGTTCTCAGCAGGAGACACTTGGTAAAGAGCTGGATGGGAGTAATTATATTACACTACAGTGCTTTGATGTCTAAAAGCTGTGACCTGCATCAGTCAGAAAAGAAGTGCTGCAGCTCTCTTGGGTTTGCAACTGCAGTGTGAATCAGAGCCTGGCCAGGCTAGAGACCGATGGGGAATGGGTCTAGACAGACTTTCAGTAGTAGCTTGTAGAGCTAGTGCACTTCACTCAATGAAGTGAGATTCTTCACTGCAAAGGCTCTTCCCAGTCTCATTATAATGTGTGACTTCTCTGTGGGTGGTAGGCATTTTTGTGAGTTGAGCATCTTCTGCCAAACCATGCAGAGACACCTGAGCTGATCTGATTGAGTGAATTGGTCTGGCTAGTTACTCAGCTGAGTGTCTGCTGATGGAGGCAGACCGTTATGCTGCCTCAGCTACAGTGTTGCTGTGACTTACTCAGAATTATCTTGCATACCTCTCCCGCACACTGCTTAATGCCAGGGAGATACATTCTCTATGAGTGCAGGTACAGGGCTCACAGGTGGTGAGACTTCATCTTGTCGTAACTGCTGGGCAATTCTGTAGGAGAAGACAAAAAGAGCTCTTACTGAGCGTATTTCTGGTGAGAAGTGGTTTGCCCTTCTTTATCTAGAGCTGAGCTTTCTGTTTCTCCAATGTTGATTTTGCTTAGGTACTTTAAGAACTTTATTCTGGTACTTAAAGATCTACTGTTGTTCTCTCACTGAATTTACTGATGAGCTAAGGAGGAAACCAGACTCTATAATTGCCTCTTGTGACATTTCTTGTACCCTTATCTGAAATAGTTAATTCTGGCTTCTGTCAAAGACAGCCATACTGACAGTGCATTCTGTCTGGTCTCACTCCTTCTCTGTGCCTCCAGGCTAGCTGCTCCTTATCCTGAATGCTTGTGGTTGGCTGGTTGGTTAGTCTTGTCCTGTTTACAGTCCCAGCATCTGGATTACTCAAAGTCCTGGGAGACTTTTTTTCACACTGGAGCAAGGCTTCCTGGCCAACCACCAAGACTGTATTCTAGTCTGAAATGAATTTGGGATGGTTAAGTTGCTGGTCAAGCTAGTCCTGGTCTAGCATGGTAGCTGGGTGAGTTCCTTGTGTGTGCAGAAATCCACGAGTGTTCTCAGGGCTAGTTTGCCAGCTGGGTGCTGCAGCTGCACCACTGTGACAGTGTTAACAATGAAGCAAAGGCATGTGGGCCACTTCATTCATTCCTTCCTTCTCCTCCATTTCCAGTTGCTTTCCAAGCCCATTTTTTTCCGACAAAACTCAGAACGGAGGAGTTTCAAGCTGCCAGACATACGGAAACTGAGCCGTGATGGGACTGGGTCACCATCCAGAATCAGCCCTCCCTCGACCCCCAGCAGTCCAGATGACACTGTCTTCTCCTTGGGAGACCCTCAGAATGGCAAGAGGAGAAGGAAGATTCCCAAGGTAAATCTAGGTCTTTCTCTCTTGGCTTCTTCCAGGCAGGAATTCAATTATGAGAAGTTTTCCTTAGTTTCCAGTGTGGCATCCCTGCAACATAGCTGTTGTCCTGGCAACTGACTTGACTTGTGTTTAACCCCTTTCCTGCCTGAAGGAGAAGGCTCACTAGCATTTCTACAAGTTCTGAAGAAGTTATTTTTCAGTCTGAGATATCTTGATTGTCAGGAGAGAGAAAATAATAGCAAGAAAAAAGCATTTTAATTTTTGGATGAAAGTTGAAGTTTGTCGGGGGGGAACCAATTAATACTCTTGCAAAAGATGTACCCCATCATATTTCTTTCTTTGCTTGATGGATATGAGGGTCAGAAGTTGTCTGTGTGCTGTGTTGTTGTTCTCTCCTGGCAATCTCTTCTTTGCTAGGTCTGATTCATGCATTGACTGTTCCTAAATCAAGAGAGGGTGTGATGTTGGAAGGGAATAATGAAAATACTGATATTTGAGTAACAAAAAGAGTTCTGTGTAATTAGGAGGGCTCTTTGGAGCAACGTTTCCTACTTTGTATTTGGATACAGCATGACTCCGTTTCAGTTATATTTTCTTTCAGATCTAGCAGGAAGTGTATTCAGTCCAAATGAGGTTCGGCACTAGTCTGTCTACTGAATGTTTCAAAAACACAGTTGCTTGTCCCAGTCTTTGCAGGACAAGCAGAGGCTTCCAGGGACTGTCTGTGGTGATTTTTTCTCAACCCACAGTTTTCAACAGGGGGCAAAGGGATGTGTTTGTGTATTGTCTTTGTTTCACGGTTGCCAGATCTGCGCTCGTGTTTGCATATCTGATTATTGAATGCCCTCTCTCTGTTCCTCCCTTCAGGAATGAGCCAAACACTACAAACATCTAGGGTTTTCTTTCCCAGTGTGCTTACACATCTGTGCATGTGCTTGAGCTCTGTCAGTGTGTTCACACATGCTTCTATGTCAGCTGAAGGGAAGATTACAAGTATATACATTTATCAGACATTGTCACTGAGCAGTATTGCAGAGCAAGTTCAGAACTGAGATTTACTGCGTCAGTGGCAAGATTAGCTTGAGACTTGAGCTGAGTGGCTGGGTGGAGGCTGTACTTTCACAGCAGAGCATCCTGCCTCGCTTAAATATTGGGATTCAGAGTTCCCTGACCAAGTATGTGGTGGGCCTGTCTTGCTTGGAGCTGTCAGAACATGTGTGCAGGGATTCCAGACTTTCTGGAATAGATCTGAACGCTGTGGCCATGTTCTGCTGCTCCTGCCTGGAACCTTGACAAGGAGGCTCAAAGAGGCTTGGGGAAGCCTGGTATGGTCCTCCTGCAATTCCGCTCCCTTTTAGGGATGGATAAGGAGACCAGAGGCATTGAATGAACCACTAAGCCCAGCTATGCTCAACACTGAGATATTCTCTCTCTTGGTCAGCTGGGAGGCCAGGGATTAAAGGATTTGCAAAGAAAAACACTACTATAAAGTACTTCAGCTTTATTCGCTCCCACCCATTTCAGTTTCTTCATCATTCTTTGTACGATGTGTTTCCCCCATGCTTGGTATGAAGGCTTTTCCAGCATAGCCCACAGCAGGTGTTAAAGGCATAAAGACATTAAAGTTTGCTGTCATCCTCCAGCCAGTTCTGCTTTTAAACTTGTGGACCAGGGCATGTTCTCAAATGAAGACTTCCAATAAGGCCAGGGTTGGGAAACAGAGCACTTTGCATGAAGTTCTAACTTTCTTGCCTGGGGAGAAAACTAACCTTGTTTGTTTATGTGTTTGCTGAGCAGCTCGTCTTGAAAATCAATGCCATTTATGAGGCACGAAGGGGAAAGAAACGCGTCAAGAGACTATCACAATCTACAGAGAGCAATTCAGGGAAAGGTAAAAGAACTTTGAATTATCATACATCTAAGACTTTTTGAGGACTTACAGTTTAGGCTGGCTTAGTGATCATGTGATGTTTTTTAGGAGTCCAGAGCGAGATTGAATTGGGGCTTCCACCCTTTCTTTTGGGAACATAAAGGCTATTCCTCTCCCCAAAAGGTTTTCATAAAAGTGGAACTTTCTGTTTTTCTTGCTTAATTTTCATTCCATGGGTTTACATGATAACCTTACAAGTCACATCAGAAATGTCCCCCCGTTTTTGATGTCTATTTCTGGAATAGGCTGGAAGCTTCGAAAAGTTTTCTGTCCAAAAAGTCTGATTTGTTGAGATCAAAATATGTTGCAGGAATGTGTCACTTTAGCAAATGGTCCAATGGAAGATGGTAAATTTTGAAACAGTCTTGGCTCCCTCAGCTTTCCAATAAACAAAGAGCCTCCATTGGAAATAGGGTTTCCAGATTTGACTCTAGGACCATCTCCATCATAGCAAGACTAAGATTTTCAGCCTCCCGCTGTCAGTTAACAGCTTGCTGGAAGTGTTCAGGTACTTCAGAACAATTACTTTTAAGCATCTTATCTCTTTAAAACTTTAAATTACATCTTCCCAACATGGTGCTTTTCCCAAAACACTCTTGATTTCCAGTGAAAGCTGTCCACAGTTGTTTCCCACAATTGCTTGATACTGTTTATCCTATTTTATATAAGACACACACCCACAGGCTGGATGGAGGTGTTTATATGAACCTTCAGGGTTCTCAGACTTCTCTCTACCTCATTTTTATACCCTTCTCTGAAGCATCTACAGCATCATTGACAGAAACAGGCTACTGGACCATATAGACTTGGAGCCTGATTTGGTCTGGCAATTGTTTTTTTGTTTGTCTGCTTGTTTTTATCCCTTGTCCTGCAAATTACTGCCTGTTAATCAGTATTTTGCCTTGGTGGTGTGCTTATTTAGACTTGGATAAAATACTGCTCTGGCATTTTATTCTTTATGCAACTCTTCTGGCTGTCTAAAATTGATTTGGGAGGGGGGCTGGGGGTGGTGGTTCTTTTCAAAATTGCTTAGATTGGGGTTGTTGTTGTTTTGTTATTATTAGTGTTATTACTATTATTTATTTTAATTATTATTATTGTTGTTGTTATTATTATTCCCTAAGTGAGTGGGAACATACCAAGCTTGGTAAGCTAAGTGCCTGTGGTTATCTGCACCCATGAAAAGAGCAAGGCTCTTGGAATCTATACTGTTTTCCCTCTGAAGTTGCCAGGACTGGTTTTCTCATGCCAGTGATAAGAAATGTACAGGTATAAATAGACTTTGCCTAATTCATCTTCCGCTTTTTCTTTTCCTAGTTACAGATGAAAACAGTGAATCGGACAGTGATACTGAAGAGAAGCTGAAAGGTAAGCACATGTGTGAAGAGAGCAAATGGCTCAGATTCTGTGTTCTGCCTTTGGAGAAGGGCCTTCCACTCAAACACAGTGAGAAAACAAAGATCTCAATACTGCAGAAGAAAATCCATGGGCAGACTATAGGGCTCCAGACCAAACATCGGTTTCAATTCCCATCAAAGCTCTTTGCACTGACTTGCCTAGGAGACAGCTTGGACACTGTGAAAATACAAGCGAGGATTTTCTAAGTACACAGTCAAAAATGTGTGACCAGGCTGACAGAAGCAGTACTGCATGGGACAGGGTGCTCAGAAACCCAGGTACACATTTTCTAAGGGAGATAACCCACCAGCCAGACCAGCTAGCTGGGAAAACAGAATTGCAATGTATGCTTTATTGCTAGTTAAACTCCTCTGCACTGGCTGAGTTGGGATAAAGTGCTGCATTGCTTACTTCACTTCAGTAGAGCTATATGGTCTGCTTGTCTCCATAATAACACTCTTCTAAAGCTTTCTTGTGCTGGTAATCAGCCCTGTAGCTGTCATTGCAATCTTCACAGAAGTTATGTGGCAAACTCAAAGTCCTGGCAGAATTAGAGTGCAAGATGGAAAGTTGCTCAGATTCCAAAGCTTCCTGACCCACGTGCACAGCTGAGCTGGGTAGTAGGCCAGTGCTCAAGCTGAAAAGACAGGCATAAGCAGCAGTTGGACTCTGTGTCAATTACAGTGTGTTGTGCTTAGAAGTGCTCATCTTCACCCTCTTTCAGGTTTTTACAACAGAAACCTCAGACTGTGTTCCCTCTTCCACACAAGAACTACTGTATGCTCTTGCTTTCCTCCGCTTTGGGTAACCTTTTACATTTACTGCTGTGTCAGCAAGATCAAGCTGAAAATTGCTGCCAGTGCCTATGTTTTGACAGGTTTTCCAGGTAGCCTGGAGTTTGAGCAGAGATTACATTCACAACTGTCTTGAAACTCGATGTGAAATATAGTCTGTGTTCAGGTCTAGCTGAGAAAGACAGTGCAAGTGTGTCCAGGAAGACTCAAACTCTTGTCTGTTACTGGTTGCCATAGTGAGTCATGTATGTATGTTTCTCTGTAACATCTGTATAACTGCAGCTAGGAAGTGCCTGTAGAGTGGAACCGATGATGACCGTGTGAACTCACCTCAAATCCAACAGCACATGACTGAACAATAGCCAGATCTATCTGAGTGACTGTGTGAGTCTGCATAAGTGTGAGCAGGAGCTCTGGCACTTGCTGCTTGCTCTAGCTGCACCTGTATTTTGCTTTATGCCTTGTTGAACTGTTGACTTCCCAATTTTTAAATAAGAAAGTGAGATGATTGAACAAGTCTCTTTTATCTGGGACTTTCGGGTTTGTATGTTTTACTTAACAGACTAAACATACCAGCCAGTTACGTCTGCTTAGCAAGTCACTGTACATCATCTGAGACACAGTAAATCATCAAACAGCAATCATCAGACTGCATGTCAGAGCCAGCCATAAGTGCTGACCCTTGGAAGGAAAAATGTTCAAAGACAAACTCTGCCATGATGACAGCAGTAAAATCCCGGTATCTTTAGTGGGTTGCACAGAATATAAACAATGCAGAGCTTGAATGAGCTTTTCAGAAGCACTCAGCATTGCTATGACATTGCTCCTTTTGAAGTTTCTGGTAAAACAGAAACCATTTCCGAAAACCTTTGAATTACATCCTTACAGCGAATAGGTGATGAGAGAAAGGAGTCTAAGCTATTTTTCCAGGGCTTTAACTATCCAGGGATTGTTACACTTTCTAAGAGGCATCTCAAGATTGCTGTAAATTACATTGTCTGCAATAGTCCACGAGTGGCACAACTTTACTAGCCAAAAGGTCAAGTGTCCATCCTAAAGTATATACTGTCTTTCAGGAAGCCCAGGCTCCCAAGCAGACATCTTAAGCATTTGGAGTTCCTGCAGTATCCTGGTGGTTGTTGTTTCTGTCAAAAAGTTGCACTGCCACCCGCGTTCACGGGAAGCACAGATGTGAGAATGTGCTGTAGCCTCTGCTTGTAGTTAATTCTTTCTTTTGTAGTAGGGGTAAGGGAGGCATCATGGAGATTTAATTTGGGATGCGACTGTAAAATAAAGCAGGGGGGTGGTCTTACGGAATCTCATCTGGTCTCTTCTCAGCAGGCAGCTTTTCATTACTTTCCGTGCTGGAATGTTTATTGTCCCACAGCTCGTATGTGTTGCAGTTACAGCTTGCTTGGCAGATTTTCTTGTTTTCCTATTGTCTTGGGTGAACTTGTAGAAACATGGTCCTGAGAGATAAAGTTTAGGCACAGGAAGGACTGGCACAAGCCAGCTTTTCTGATTTGCACCTCTTTTCATGTTTCTTTGTTGTTGGCCTACAGCCCAGCCTGTGTTAGTGGAGCTGGGAGTCCCCAGCATTGTTTAGCCAGTGGAACTGTAGCCTGACCCAAATGCTGGTCTTGTAAAACTGTGGGAATTGCTACTCGCAGCCTCCTCTGAACAAAGGTGATCAATCACCTAACTGTGCTGGCTTTGAAAGATACATGTACGAATGCTAGGATGAATGCCCAGACATTATCTGTAACATCATGTCCCGTATGGATCTCAGTTTGGGTTGTCTTCAGCTCTAAAAGCTACCCATGAAATCTTGTCTGCTGCCAAAACTCTTCAGGACTATGACACTCACCAGATAATGTCCCATCTCTGTCGATATTTATAGTGCAGCTTCTAAATGGTTCCCGCCTCTTACTCAGCCACTAATAAAGTAAATACAGTGAGGTGGTGTCAAGGTTACCTGTAAGTCTCTGTAAAGCATTGTGGTGCTCTGTGCAAAGAGCTAGACAGCCTCACAATCTCTAATCTTTTTCTTGATAGCTCACAGCCAGCGCCTGGTGCATGTGAAATCTCGCCTGAAGCAAACCCCGCGGTACCAAACCTTGGAACGGGACTTGATTGAGTATCAAGAGAGGCAGCTGTTTGAATACTTCGTGGTGGTGTCACTGCACAAGAAGCAGGCTGGGGCTGCCTATGTCCCTGAGGTTACCCAGCAGTTCCCACTGAAGGTGCGGTGCCTGTCAGGAAGGTCTGGCTGATACGTCTCAGATTGTGTGGTGCACTTGCACAGCTGGAGAAGCCACAGGTTCTCTGTGCTACCTGTAACCCCTCTGCTGTTGCAGTGTTCAGTGGGACTGAAGACAGAGGGTCTGCAGTCACCCCCTGAGAATTGTCATGACATTCCTCAGTGTTGAAGGAGCAGCTGATTTAGATCTTTTGCTGCCCTTGGCTGTAACTTTATGTAGCTATTCCCTTTTTCCCCCTTTTCTCCATAAAGAAGACTGACACTTGGGAGAAGACACGTGTTCTTAAAGGGAAGGCGCAGCTTTCACCAATAGTCTAGTTCAAAACAGGGAACGAGGAATGGGAGAAACACAGAGCCAGTGTGACAGCGTGTTTGTAAATGGGTTGTAACCAGAGCTCCCCTCAGACTGAGTTCTCTCACAGCTTGCTGGAAGATGTGTCCCAGATTATGGGCGCAATACAGCAGGGGCATGTGCTACAGATACAGGACTTGGTGGAACTGGAGGCACAGAGTTACTTTAAGATATCTAATGATTAGGTGAGCCAGAATCACAGAAACTTTAATATCTTCCAGGCAGAAGCTTAGCCTCTGTCATCACCTCTTCATTTGTCACAGGAAAAATATTTGAAGTCATTCCATCTCCACATGACTAATTGGAAACATTCCTTCTCTCTGTTCTGTTAGCTTGAGCGCTCGTTCAAATTCATGCGCGAGGCAGAAGATCAGTTGAAAGCTATTCCCCAGTTTTGCTTCCCTGATGCAAAGGACTGGGCCCCCATCCATCAGTTTGCCAGGTAAGTACTGTACTTTGTATCCTGATTTGTAACAAATGGATTTATATATCAAGCTAATTAAATGTGAGAGCTGTTATGGCACAAAATTGGGCAGAGGCCTGACAGGGGTGTATTGGAAATGCAAAAATGTTGTGGGCTTGTTTGGATTCTGTGTCAGAGACTGTTTCTCTTTTTGCAGTGAGACATTCTCATTTGTCCTGACGGGGGAAGATGGAAGCAGGCGATTTGGATACTGTAGGAGGCTGCTGGTAATTATCCCTGGGTTCTTTTTTCTTTTCCTAGATATGCAGCCTTCTGTGGGGTTGGTGTTACTGGCACCCATTCTGGAAAGTGGAAAGCTGCTGCTCTTTCAGTGTAGAAAGAAAGAGCGGCAGCAGAACAGCTTTGCTCTCTTCTGCTTTGCTCAGTGCCAGAGTCCCTCTTCACGTACAGTCCTCCACCCCACACATAGCTCTTTTACTTTTTACTTACACCAGTGCTTAATGTTTTGAGCATGGACTGTTTCATTGCTAACCTGTCTCTCTTAGGTTTAGATAGCTACTAGTTGTCTAAATCTGTGCTGGTCCTGTAGGCTCAGTGTCTGTAGCGCAGTGTGCCCTACCTTAGTCATTTGACATAGGAAGGTTGTATTATATCGTAAATGTGCCCATTTCTCCCCACTGTTTCTAGCATACCAGGGTTTGAGCCAGACTTAAGGTATTGTCAGCAGCAGCATGCTGTGAAATGTCTGCGAGTTTCTGAGCCAGCCACTGAGCTGCAGAACTGGGACCAGTCGCTCTATCTTGCAGTAACTGACATTTTCTTGGTATTTTGTATGTGTGTGTTTGCATTTGTCTTGAAAGCCCAGTGGGAAAGGGAAGCGTTTACCAGAAGTTTACTGCATTGTGAGCCGTCTTGGATGCTTCAATCTCTTCTCTAAGGTGAGGGGGGTGAGAGAGGGGATTGTGGTGTAGGCTAAGGGGGATCTGAAAGTTAATCAAAACCAAAAGAGTGGGGATCAGGGAAGCTGATGCTGAAGAAAGGGCCTGAAGTGGTGTAGGCAAGGCAACCACATAATTGCAGAACCTAGTTCTGGACAGTTCTAGTCCAAAACAGTTAAAAGAAAAACCAGATTGTCAGCTGTTGCCTTCTTCCTTCAGCAGAACCACCAGGACACCAGCACTGAGAGATTAAAAGGTAGAGTCCTGACTCTGAGTGTGGTGGGGAGTTTGCAAATTGTAAGTGACCCCACTGAAGCTGGGTTTCTCTTGCTGAAGGAAATTAAGGGTCTTCAATTGCATCTTTTACCTTCTTCCTTATGACTCAAGGCTCCATGTCAATGCTGGGTTAAGGAGAGACCATAGATGCTAGTGCACTTCATTCATGCTGTTATCTCCTTCCTCCCAGTTTACATGTTTTTGTCTTCATGCCTTTATTTCAGATCTTGGATGAGGTTGAGAAGAGACGGGGCATTTCCCCAGCTTTGGTGCAGCCTCTCATGAGGAGTGTTATGGAGGCACCTTTTCCAGCCTTGGGGCGGACAATTACAGTCAAGAACTTCTTGCCAGGCTCAGGAACAGAGGTAATGACACAACCCTAGAAGGAGACTTAGGCCAATAAATGGTGCAGGACTGGTGACTAGAAGTTGTGACTGTGACATAGCACTGGGATCTTCAAGGACAGATTGTCTGGTAACTGTGGGGAAGCTAGGGAGAAAAATAGGGGACTGGAGGGGGTGGCATGGACACTTCAGTGACCTCAGAATCAAAAGGGAAATCATACGTTAAAAATGAATGTAAGGGCACAGCAATGCTGGCAAAATGAAACAGGGCATTGGCCCTCAGGCCAAGTGGTACAGACTGGCAGGCCCCATGCTGCCCAGTATATGGACCTGCTCAATGCCCCCCCATACTTCCTGAAGACAGGGTTCCTAACATATGTCCCAGTGTTCTTAGTGCAGAGCCACTGTTTTTGTGTGACAGGGCACAGCTTTCTGGTCAAAAAGTAACTGAAACCACACAAGGGCAACGTTGCAGCCTCTCAAAATGGCATTTTCATAGCAGGGAGGTGAGGTTATGTGTCGCATCTCACACAGTGAGGGTTGTAAGAGTGCAGAGCTTTTGGGTGTAGCATTGAAGGACTTTGGGAGGGAGAAGGAAGCTAAATTGAACATAGTCTTGCCCATACTTCCTGTTGAGCATGCCTTGAATGTGAGAAGAGGGAAGTGAGTGAATTGATAGAGAGGTTGTGAGGGCTTTCAGCATAACACTGCATGATGGTGTTCTTCTCAACTGAACCAAAACCAGTCCAGGCTAAATTAAACTACTCTAGAGCACATGCATTGTTGGTTAAAAATCTGTAAAATCCCAGTGCTGTACCATGAGGCTGTGAGAATGTTTTGGCTGTTTTGTTTCTAGGATCATTAATGTTCATTAATTATCTTGGTTGAATGCATAAACCCCACGTTTACACAATGGGCAGATGACAGCATTGAGATGGGTTGCAGGTACTTTGGAAAGTAAGGGATTACACTTCAAAGTGACCTTGCTAAATTGAAGGTTTGAACTGAAACTCAATATGGACAAGAGCTGGGAGGAAGAAATGAGCAGTCTAATACAACGTGGAAGTAACTGAGTGAGCAGCAGTACTTCAGAAAAGGAGCTGGTATAGTGGGCTATAAAGTGAGCAGAGGTAACAGTATGGTATTGTTTAGACAAAGTCCTGCATTGTTAAAGAAAGTGAAGGAATGAATAATAAATAAGAGTTTTTCTGCTTTCCAGCACTGGTGCAAATTTATTTGCAACATCATTTTCCAAAAAATGCAAACAGTAGGAGAACACCCCAGAAAAGTAGTTCCACTTACTAGGTGGTTTACAAAATGCAGGCAAAGCTTGAGAAAATTGCTTGCTTAATACAGACAACAAAGAACAAAAGAGGACACATGATAACCTTTGAATATGCAAGAAGTTTCCTACAGAGAAGAAGGTGACCGGTTGTTCTGAGGGTATGCTGTTGTAAGATAACAAGTAGTTGAATTAATTTGCCCTTGACAAGTTTCAGCTGCAGGCTTGGTGTTGGTGAGGATAGTTCAGAACTGGAGTAAGGTTCTTGTGGAATTTATGAAATGTGTGGTGTTGGAGGCTTTCAAGAACAATTTAGATGAGCAGCTGTCTAGGATAAGGAGTATGAAGCGAGAAGATGCTGTGACAGGAATTGGTGGATATGAACAGCGAAAAAAGCTCACAGACTGCTTTTCACTGTGACTGATATAAAAATGTATAGTCAGTAGGTTAGACATCCAGATTCTGGCATTAAAATGAAAAACTAAGTTGTAACTGTAAAAACAAGAGTGCAGATTTGGAAGGCTTCATGCCATTCTGCTGCTTGAATGCCAGAAAGGCTGGAAACCACTTATAGCTAGGCACAAACTAGTTTTCCTCCTTGTGAAGAGCTCCCTGTTCTCAGTCCATTGGGAAGAACTTGTGGTTGGTCTCATGCTGTGCCCATTGGAGTGGACTCTGGATTGTCTTTGTCTGGAAGAAGGATTTGTGGGAGGTCTTTGGAAAGACTCTGTTTGAGGGCTTAATGCTATTTGGTGCTTGCCAGCACTGTCACTAAGGCTTGTTAGTGGTGAAAATACTTGTTGTGTCTTTGTTTGCCACAGTATGGGTGGGCAGCAAGAGCAGACCTATGGTCTTTTTCTCTCCAACAGATCATTGAGCTGCGGCGGCCTCTTGACTCCAGGCTTGAGCATGTGGATTTCGAGTCCTTGTTCACATCCCTCAGCGTGCGGCACCTGAGCAGAGTCTTTGCCTCCCTGCTTCTGGAGAGGAGGGTGATCTTTATTGCAGACAAGCTCAGGTACCCTCTTGCATTTCCTTAAACAAAATGCTGCTTTGTTCTTTTTAACTTCTCTGCTCTTTGCTAGCTTTGATCCAAGTAGTGCTTAAGTTCCCTCCAGAAGTGGGGAACTCAGGTCATGCACCATCATTTTGTTTAGCAGCTTGCAAGAAGTGTGCTGCTTCTTGTCCCCAAGGAGAACCAAATTCCCTTTCCTCCAAACCGTTTCAGAGCAGATTACCAGTGCTAAGGAAGCAAAACCCCTTCTTTTTGTCCACGATGCAGCAGTGTTCCCCACTGAGCTATGCTGGAGTTTGCAGGGATCAAGCTTTGGGCAGAGAACACTGTCACTTACAGGTTCTTCTCCGGTGTCACAGAATCTCTTAAATCTTCAGCTTCTATTTTAATATTGTTTTCTGACTACTTTTTTCTTGTGTGGGATGCAAGTAAAGGATGCAGTGAGGGGGAATGAAACAGAGGACTTACCCCTTCTATTTTGTATCTTTCAATTTGCTTCTTTTCCCTTCTTCTTTTTTTTATTTGCTCTCGTAAGTTACGAAAATGGGCTCAGGTTTCTTTAAGATCTTTTGCAGCTGGTGGCTGGCAGCTCTCCAACCCTTGAAGTACTTGAGGATTCAGTGGGGAGAGTTCGCCAAGGCTGGGAAAGCTGCCTGGATGAGTAATGACACTTCGGAGCATGCTCAAGTTTCAGGAGTGTACAATGCCCCTAAGCTGTCTGTTTTCACAACTTCCAGGCAGCAGGCTGCAGCTCTGGGACTGAGCGCTGGGGCAAAGAATGGGGAGGCCCCTTCTACAGGAAAGTGAAGGGAAAAGTTCATGCTGCAGGGATCCGGGGCTCTCTGCAGGCAGAGCTCAGGCACTCTCATCACAGGAGTAGGAAGGCTGGAAAGAGGGGAGCTGTAGCATCCAGGCAGCACCACTTGCATTTTTTGGCAACTGCCTTGGATCATAGAGAGGAAGATTTGCCTCTTTATAATCACTGATACATTATATGCATAGATACTTAGTATTGTGGATACTTAAGCCACACGTTTCATGCAGAGCATTCAAACTTGCACTGAAAATTAGAGAATTCATCCAAATGCTGTCTTTCTACTTAGTATATATGATTTATATGATAATTTAGGATGACAGGCTTTGCCAGTATAGGCAGGGTCCTTAGAGATGAGTCCAGCTGCCCAGATCTGTAAAAGGGAGTGGGAAAGAGCTATAGAATCATAGCTTCTAGATTCTTTAAATATACCATAAACAGCCCTCTTCTGTGAAAAGAAGAATTGTCACGTTTTAAAGATCCAGGGTCTGTCTGGCCACAGGGCTCAGAGTCAAATATTTACTGTAGATTTGCCAGCTCTCTACAAGACTTTTAATATTTGATGTTTCTGAGAAGACCTTGCTCTCAGCAATTTCAGGAGAGTCTTCTTCTTTTCCTGTTACAAAATATGAACTTTCTCTGACTCATTTTTGTGGAGAAAACGCTTGAAAATGACCCCAAAGGACTGTGAAGGCCTGAAAAACAGAAAACTAAGGAAATAACCAAAAATAAGTATTTTAGTCCAGTCCAGTGACCTGAGTGCACTGGTTTGGTGAGCCTTTCATAAGGTCAATAGTCTCTTCTCCTCATTGGAAATTCCATGTTTTGCAAGCTGATAGTATTGAACTTACACGATCATCTGTCCAAATGATACTTTTCCTGAGACAGGAACACACTGAACTCAAGGAATATTAAATGGTATTTAGCAGTGAAAATTCCAATTTCAGAGGAAAGAAAAGAAACATTTTTTGGCAATAACTTACGAGAAGAAAGACGAAAAAAACCTGATAAAAGCAGCTGTTGGAAACTGCTCAGAGGTTAGGAATGCCTGAAACAACCCAGCTGAGATGGATTAAAGGGGAGAGTGCAGGTGGCATGGTGAAAGATGCATAATGAATTGCTTTTATCATTCATTTTTGCAGTTCTCCATGTGGACCCTGTCCATAACTACCTGTATGTGTGTGTAAAGGTATGTCTGGTGTGAGTGTCAGAGTTAATGCTGTGTGCAATTTATTTACATCTTTTAATTGCTATAAAATCAGTCTGTGGGAAAAGAAAGCCGAAAGGTCTCTTGCCAAATACTGTGTGAACTGTGAAATGTTTTCAAGCTGAGCCAAAAAATGTATCTAACAAGTGTACAGCAAGTGAAATACTTTGTCTTTTCCATCTTTAGAATGAACATAGAGTGTTTTTTAAAGAGCTGTCAATCTGGAGCTTGGCAGCGGAAAAGGAAAGAATTTGGTTTATTAGTTTTTGGGTGGGTTCTTTTTCCCTCTGTTGCTGTGGAAACTGGAGTATACATTGCCTCGCAACCCAGGGAACGGACTTCGTTAAAACTATGTTTGTCTGTGTAGTCTTCCCTAGCTTTTATTTGCTCCTGCACCATAAACTTTAGTGCTGGGGCAGTGGAGGCCATGGCGAAGGTTAGGCACTGCAACAGGAGAGTTGCTTTTGTTTCCAAGTGATGCTGCCTGGCATGCAGTTTGAGACACTGTAGACCAACGTTTCAGAAGGAATCTTCCAGTAAAAGTGGCCTCATTTCACAGGGTACCTAGGGCTGGGCAGTTTTCACTGGTCCAAGGGAGAGATGGGTCAGATTCAGAAGGTTTTTTATATCAGGAGAACTTACACAGGCTTAAAATCAAGGCATAGTTTTTACAGATCTCCTCAAAAGCCTATTGTGGATCTGACCAACTCAAGCAACTGCCTTTGTCCCTGCCAGAAACCACAGCTGTGTCAACAGCACAAAGTGGTCATTGTTATCAAAGGCAGATCTGAAAGAATTTGAGTAGACACTTTAAATGTGGTCATCCCCTGTAAAAGGTAATTAATCATCAAAAAGAAGCCTTTTCCGTGCTCTACAGAAACAAATCTGGGACTGTGAATCCCAGCCTTCCAGGTTCTTCCTTTTTGTATTGTGGTTAGGGAGAAGAAGAAATCCAAGCATGCAGTTCTGATCTCAGATAATGGTGTCGTTTCTTCAGAGCATCTTTAACTCTCGCTTCTTCACCTGCAGTAACCTGCCATGTCGGTGGGAGGCATTGATGGTCCCCACTGCCGGTGGAGCTTGGCATCCTCCTGTCAGGGTTTGCAGCAGGGCTGTGCAAAGTAACGGGGCAATGTTTGGAAGCTCCTGCGCCTGTTAAATGTTGTAAAGCAGATCTGCAATCCATCATAAGTAAATCCAGATGTAACACAGTGTCAGAAATCCAAAGGTGTTTGTAAAATGAATCCTATTGTAGCAGAGCTTACAAAAAAAGACAAGAAAAACCCCACGTATCAAACCGTCTTCAGTTGCCAATGCCAGCATATTTTGAACAGTTTAGTTAGTGCAGAGAGCAAAGAGCATTGAACCCCAAAAGGAGGGATTGATTCAATAATGTTTTTCAGAAATCGTGAAATATCCTCAAAGAGGGATCCAGCTTGGTGAGCTTTTTAGCATAGCTGCTGGCCTTGGGAGCAGAAAGCTGTAAAGTCTGTAGTCAGTTTAAAGTTTGGGAGGAAAACAACCAAACTGAGCAGCCAGTATCCTTCTTTAGAAGCTGCAGGAAGTTGACAAGGTGTCTTTGAGCCTGTCAAGCTAGCTTTCCCAGGAAAGGAAAAAGAGTTTCTATGTAGTTGCAGCTATTGTGTTCAGATTCTGTATTGGCCACCCCTGTTTGAGGTGGCTACGAAGAAGCAGCAGCTTCATAGGGTGCTGTGTAGTAGGATTTTGCATAGGATGCTGTGTGGCAGGAACGCCTGTTGTTTGAGCAAGAAAATGTCACAAATTGCTGCAGTATCATGGTTCTGACCAAGAGTGTGTGCAGCCAGAGGGATCTGTGTGTCAGTCTGTATCCAAATCAGCCCTTTAGGGAGGGATCTGACACAGTTCTTTATGTATTTTTTAGCCTCTATATTAGCAGTATCTCAGTCTCTCCTGCAAGCTCCTGTGCAAGTTACATTAGACATGGTCTGCACTAGGTAGTGGTGGCATCTGGAGTGCACCAAGCAAAACACATCATCCTGTGTCAGTATTAGTCCAATAGCAGCAGTTGTCATTGTGGTTAATGGTGCATGCCTCCTGGGATGTCCGGGTTTCAGTAGGGACATGGGGTGTGGCTATTCAGAGGCATTGGCTGCCTGTTTGGTATATACTTACTGTTTTGAGAATGCATTAAACTGTTCTGGTGGTGGTGTGCATATCAACTGTGGTTGATTCTGTGCACATCTCATAGAAAGAGGCATACAGAAGTTCAGTGGCCATATTCACCTTCTACACAGACAGGTACCTGCTGTGTTACGACTGTGATATAGTTTGGGAGTCTGCCCCATTGCTGCAGGCTGAAGAGCATACAGTCACACAGATGGCATAAAAGGGAATTCATCCTGTTGGATTTTTTGCAAGGCTCTGTAGCCATGGTGTGAATCACCAGTCCCTCAGTGCTTGTTGCAGTGCTGTACGCAAGAGGAAGGAGTTTCAGCTTGAGTCATTCCGAAGGACTGGAGCTCTGCTGGGCTCCTGGCAAGCTGCAGCTCCCTGAGACTTATCTGCAGAACAAGTCTGACTGAATCAGGTGTGGAAGAAACACCTCAATGTTACCTCCTCCGTGTCCATCTCTGAACTGCTGTGCCTTCAAAGGAGTCTTGCAGACCTCAACCCTATCAGTATTGTTCTCTGAAAATGTCCTCACTGAGATATGTTTCAGAGCAGCAGTCACTAGGATTCATCCTGGAGGCGATGAGGCATTCACAGATGGAAGGGTGGAAGGGGAAGCTATCTTTACTTCCCACCGCATGATGCATCCAATTTCAGGCTTGTGTAAGCTTTGTCTGTGACTTCCACTAACTGGACCTCAGCCATCTTTCCTCCCACTCAATCTCTCACGTACCATGTGTACTCACTGGGACTTGAGAATAGGGTTGAGGGAAGAGCAAGCCACCATAAATATAGCAGGAGACAGCATGCCATCATATCTTACCGTGTCAT